GAAATGTTACAGTTTTATGTTTTTCAAGCTCCTCTCACACCCCTAGTGCTGAGATTTCCATGGTTGCGCCAGCATAACCCCGTACTCGACTGGAAAGAGGAGAGGGTTCTGGGGTGGGGTGAGGAATGTCACATGACCTGTTTAAAAGCTGCTACTCCTGTAAAAACATCATGTAACCCACCACCACATCAGCCCCCTGACCTTTCAGCCGTTCCGTCGGAGTATCATGATCTCAACCAAGTGTTTTGTAAGGACCGAGCCCGCTTTCTTCCTCCTCACCGCCCGTACGTTTGCAGTATTGATTTGCTCCCAGGTGAACCCCTTCCCACTAGTCGCTTGTACAGCCTCTCTCAACCTGAACGTGAATGCATGGAGAAGTACATCTGTTACGTCCCTCTGCAGCCTCTAATCTGCTCAGTGTGTTCAGGTGGTGCTAATTGGCCACACCTAGTCAGGTGTGGATAAAAGCATACCTGAGGCAAGCGTCCAGGGAGCTCACTTGTCTTTGCCTTGGTGGCATCAGCCATTTTAGCCAACCTGGTTTTCCATTTTAAGATAAAACCTCTTCTCACCCATACTCTGGTATTCATCTCCTTTTTTATGTTGCAGCTTTTGAGCCGGGTCGTAACAACATCAATGAATCATTGGCTAATGGATTGATTCGCCCCTCTTCATCCCCTGTGGCTGCTGGGTTCTTCTTTGTGACTAAGAAAGATAAAAGCCTCTGGCCATGTATTGATTTCCGGGGCCTCAATAACATCACCATTAAGAATAAGTACCCTCTGCCACTCTTGTCATCCGTTTTTAAACTCCTGCAGGGGGCGACCATCTTCACTAAACTCGATTTGCGAAATGCTTACCACTTAGTCAGGATAAGAGAGGGAGACGAGTGGAAAACAGCCTTCAACACGCACCTGGGCCATTTCGAATACTTGGTCATGCCGTTTGGACTAACTAATGCTCCCGCTGTTTTTCACGGTCTAGTCAATAATGTGTTCTGTGATTTCATCAATCGTTTTGTGTTTGTGTACCTTGATGACATTCTCATCTTCTCCCGCTCTCTCTCTGATCATGTACACCATGTCAGACAAGTCCTGCAACGCCTCCTGGAGAATCGCCTGTTTGTTAAAGGAGAAAAGTGCGAGTTTTATGTGAGTACTGTGTCATTCTTGGGCTACATCATTGACCGGGGCGATTTAAGAGCCGATCCAGCTAAAGTACAAGCAGTCTTGGACTGGCCCACTCCACCTAATCATAAGCAGCTTCAACGGTTCCTGGGTTTCACCAACTTTTATCGGAGGTTCATTCGTGACTACAGTAAGATTGCTTTGCCGCTAACCCGCTTAACTTCCCCTAAGGAACCTTACTGCTGGGATGATCGAGCCCAGGAGGCCTTTACGCAGCTAAAGAAACGCTTTGCTTCGGGTCCCATCCTCAGGCAGCCGGATCTCAAGCGGCAGTTTATTGTAGAGGTGGACGCCTTGGATGTAGGAGTTGGAGCCGTTCTCTCCCAACAACAAGAGGGTAAGCTCCACCCTTGTGTTTACTTTTCCCATCGTCTCTCTCCCGCAGAGCAGAACTATGACATCGGGGACCGGGAACTGCTAGCAATCAAACTCGCCCTGGAGGAGTGGCGCCACTGGCTAGAAGGTGCAGCGGAACCTTTTTTAGTATGGACAGATCACAAGAACCTCGAATACATCCGGTCGGCTAAACGCCCGACAAGCCAGGTGGGCTCTGTTCTTTACAAGATTCTGCTTTACAATCACCTACAGGTCCGGTTCTCAGAACGTGAAACCTGATGCTCTTTCCCGCCAATTCGCTGCCTCAGAGGATCAGGCCTGTGACTCTCCTATTCTCCCTCCCACATGTGTAATCGGAATCCTGTCATGGGAGATCGAGTCCGCCATACGGAAGGCCCAGTGGGCGGAACCAGATCCAGGTACTGGTCTCCCTGGATTGCTCTTTGTTCCCACGTCTGTTCGCTCATGAGTGCTACAATGGGCCCACGGGGGCAAATTCACCTGTCACCCGGGCATTCATCGCACAATCACCTTCATCCAGCGGTTCGCCTGGTGGCCTACACTGGCCAAGGACGTCCAGCGATACATCGCCGCCTGCCCAACCTGTGCCCAGTATAAAACTGTCAACGAGCCCGCTGCCAGCCTACTCCATC